GGGGGTGGGGGGGGGTGGGAGGGAGTAGCTGTATGTAGGCCAAAACATGAAATATTAATAACTCCCCGGCTTTGAAGCCTTCTGAGCCGCGGCCCCTTTTTCTTTCCTGTGACTCGGTTCAGTCTTCGTGGCGCTCAGATTGTTGTTGTTCAATTTAAACTACGCAGCGGGTCTTGGGGGAGTCGGTTTGTTGACATCGCGCAGGGAGCGGATGCTGGTCTTCGGTCCTCGCCCTCGTCCTCATCTCCACGGCTGAACCTGGCCTGCGTGTCTGTGTTGTGCCGTGGGATTCGTCTGGCAGAAAATTGGAAGGCCGTTTCTTGCTTAATTGACTGGTTTATAAGAACCGTAACTTCTGCTTCTTCGAGTCAGTGCCGGTTGTGACGGCTTCCATTTTTCTCATCCACACGCCCAGCGATCTGGTCCCAAGTGATCAGCTGAATACCGGAGTCTGAGGTAATTGTTCTGAGGTTAAGACCTCGGGGTTGGAGGGGGCTTTTGGCTCCGGCTACCCCACTAGTCCCAGAGACCAGAGTGCCAGTCCCTGTGCTCAGATGTGCCATTCTGGGAAACCCGGAGAGGTCCCCACTGCAAGCCTGGCTTGCTTGTTTGTACCTGCTGGAACTGAGCATGTGTTTGCAGGTTCAGTCAGGGGAGCGTCATGCTGTGCTTGATATATTTTGGCATACCAGCAATTTGAGCTGTCTCTTTGACTAGATGTGCCGGGGACTGTGAAGTGTCCATCGGTGTACTCTGTAATGAATGGAGACTTGATGCCGTTTCTTCCCCAGTGTTTTGTTAGCCTGTGGATCCACTCCGTTGACTTCCCTTCTGCCTTTTCTTAACCTGCCCTCGACCTTCTAGCGCATTAGGTGCTCTGAAGGTCGGGCTTTGTGTGTGTGGGAGCCAGAAGAAGGCATGTTAACTGTCCCTGATCCGATGTGTTAAGACCTCTGGTACTCCCAAGCTGTTTCCATTGTTGTAAGACCTGAGGCTTAGAAGCCATTTCTGGTGGGGTCTGATGCTGTGATGAGTACAGCGGGTTCCCAGCCTCCTTGAGGGAACTGGCCACGCTGGTATCCCAACCTTTCATGAGCAACCCTTGTAGTGCAGCTTGGGAATTACCCCTTTAGTTTCTCATTGGTAAAGTCATGAGGTGGTCGTTTCCCCCTCCACCAGTAAGCTGCTCCCGCGTTACTCGGTGTGAGAGTGCTTTCCCCTCCCAGAAGAGGCATCACTGATTAGTTATCTTATTGGGCCCTCACGGCCAGCTGAAGGGCAGGTCAGCTTTAAATGGAACCAATGGTAAATTCCGTCTCTGCTGGTCCAAAGCAGTAGAGCTGCTCTTGGCTCAGATGGTGAAGTGCTTACTTGGAAAGCGTTTGTCAGCTTTTCTCCCCCCCGGACAGGCAAGTCTGTCTGCTGCCAAGCAATGAGTGCTTTCCTTCCTGAACTGTGCCCTGTGTGCCAGGCCAGGGTGGGAGAGCAGCAGGGCGGGGAGTTACAAGCAATGCAGCCTGCTGAGGGTTCCAGGGTCCCAGTCCTGTCTGCTACGGGATTTCTAGGTGCGATGCTCTTTGCTGCCTGCAAGGCGCTGAAGGGTGAGGGAGGGGAAAACAATAACCTCTTAGTGAAAAGTACCACGTAGGACCTTAGCTGCCCTAGGGAAGTGGGCAGTGCTTTTGCTCATCTTCTCTTGGTGCTCTGGGAACTGAAAGCTGTAGTCCTCCTTGCAGACATGTCTTCCAGCTAGATGAGCCAGGTTAGGTGACAGGAGGGCAAAATTTTTTTGTATCTCTTGCCTCCACAACTACCGATTTTGGGGGGTTAGTATCCGGGCAGAAAAACGCTTCAGCCATTTCAACATCAGCGAAATTTGGATGCAAGTACAAATTAGGAGTGGACTTGCTTTCCAGTACACCCTTCAAATACCTGAAGGATGACTGTAGAGTGGATGGAGTTGGCTTTTCTCTGTGGCTGTTGGAGAGAGGACTAGGAGCAACAGCCTCAAGCTGCAGCAGAGGAAATTTTTAGGCTGGATATTAGGAGGAACTTCCTATGAGGGTGGTCAGGCATTGGAACAGGCTATGTAGAGAAATTGTGGAGTCTTCATGCTTGGAAACTTTTAGAAGCAGGTTGGACAGATGGTTGGGTGGGATGGTTTAGTCAGGGATGCTGCTGCTTTGAGCAAGGAGCTGGACTGAATGACCTTGTGATTCCTTCCAGACCCACTTCCCTATGATCTTGTCTGCCAAGCCTGGTATTTCCCTCCAGCCAGCAGTGACACTACAAATATCTAAAACCCTCATTCAGCCAAGCATTTAAGTATGTTCCCCAGAGCTTTGATCTCTGAGCCCCCTACTTCCACCGGTCTGCCAGGTGCTTCGTGTGAGTCAGCAAGGCCCCCACTCAAGGCAGGATCATCCTGACTAAATCATCTCAGCCAAGTCTGTCTACCCGTTCTTAGAAACATCCAAGAATGGAGATTCCAGTTGCTCTGGGTAGCCTGCTCCAATGCTTGAGCACCCTTGGAGTGAGAAAGTTCTTCTTAATATCCAACCTAAACTTCCCTTGCTGTAGTTTTAATGCCTCGGCCATCTTCAGGTGGAGGAGGAATCGATAACTCGTGCTCGAAAATGTAAAGATTGGTAATGTTTCAGTTGTGGGAGCTGTTCCCAAGTCATTTAGTATCTATAATTTCTGTTGGTCAGTAGGCCAGATCCTTAGCTAGTCTACTGTGCTATAAGCTCTATTGAAATGGCTCCATACTGCTTTGCATCAGCTCATGACCTGGCCCAGGGAGTTTTGTCTATTCAGCACTTCTTGAGATCAGGCTCCAAATGATTATTGGGAATGTAATTAATATAAAAAAAGAGACAAATGGAGGTGGCTTGAACTGCATAGCCTTGACCTGTGTCAGGTTGGAGGTGGAATTTCGTTCCATGTTTTGAGGCAGGAGACAAGGGAGGGAATATTCCCTTTGAGTTTACTTGCAATTCGGTGGTGCCTGGAAAATAGAGAGCCATCTACCAGACCTCTTTAGGGGCTGGCTTATGTGCGAGCATGTACTAGTATTAAGGAAGATAGGTGGTAGTTCCAGATCATTGGTTGTCCTCTACATGTGAGTCACAATGGGCTTGCACATAATCAAGACACTGGCCTCCAGTATGTTTCTATAGTGGGATGGTAGTTGGACCTTGAATTATCTAGGCTAGCAGGGGCCCTTCCCCCAATGCTACCAGTGACTAGATACAGATCTGGAAGATAGTGTCTCCCTTTGAAACAGGGAAGGAGCAGGGAGCTGCAGTTGGCAATGAGCAAAGTACATGGGAGGTTGTGTGGGTGAGATAAGCCAGAAGAATTGCTTTAGTAACTCATGGCCTTGCTGCATAGCGGGGTGTAAAAGACACAGGGTAGTTTCACATACCTATGTCTAATAGTCATATGTGCCCATGCCGTAAGAAAGAATGAGGAGAGACCGTTGATGCTGATGCACCATGTGCTGACCTGTGAAAATGATGATCTCATCACTGGGTTCAGTCAGCTGCCACAAGAACATTTCATGCTGGACGCCCTAGACGGTGTTCATAGTTGGATCAACCGGGTGCCCCAGTGGGTATGTGTCCATGTAACACAGTTGGGACCCAGTCAGGCATGAGCTTACTGTCTCCACATAGCAGACGTTGCTGTGTGGCATCTAGAATGGGACGTAGCTGGTGCTGGCTACTTATACTGGGGGGATGGGAGCAGGGAAATGTGGTGCAGCTGTGTAGTCCCTTGTAGGACTCTTCTGGTTTGGGGCAAGTGTTAATAATGGGATTAAGCCTGGACTTTGAAGTCTTTGGTGAAACTCTACCCAACATGAATAGAAAGAGTTGGCCTATGATCTCTCACTTTTAATGAGCAACAAATGCACATAAATGTCTTCAGTCTAGGGGCTGCTTCCACCTCTTTTCTGAATTGAATGACTACAATTCCTTAGTCTGTTTTCTCAGAGCACTTGGGGCGGGGGGTGGGGGGGAAAGCACCACTTCTATAAAGTGCTGTGTTCTTTTGGCATCGCCAGGGGAAATTGGAAAGACTATCTAAAGCTCTATTGTTTCCTGTACTGTCTATTTTCTAGCTTGGTTTCTAACTTGTTTCTTTATCTCTCAGAACAATTTCCCATATGACTTTGCTTCCACAGCACTTATTTCATAGAGCCCAGTCAGAAATTCTTCCCAGGCACTTAAGCTGATGTGAAATGTCAAACAAGTTCTCTCCCTTGGGCTTTCTTTGCCAAGCCAAACCCAATGTGCAGCATCTCTGCACCACTTGTTTTGTTGGTCTTTACAGACAAGAGACGGATTCCTTTAGTCTGATGCTTGTAAAAGGAGTCTAAATCACTTGGCGTGGAAATAACTCTCTTTGTTAATGCCATTCATGCTGCCCTAGTTCAAATTGTCAATGTTTCCATTCTAGTAGAGCCCTGTATTCTGAGGCTTATTACCTTGGGTCATTTAAAAAAAAAAAAATCCCTACGGGCTGAAATTTGCTGGATAAAATCTCCACTTGGGAATAAAAATGTTAAGTGTGTGACTTAACAAAAAGAGTGAGTTTGGTTTTTAATATTTTAAATGGTGCGAGGACCACAGGGTGGCTAGAAGTCAGTGTTGCTCAGAAGAAAGCAGCAAACAGTTGGCAGAGTGGAACAAAAGACATGCATGTCTCTTTGGAGAGGGAGAAATACATTGAGATGCTTCTGAACTACAGCTGCCTGTGACTTAGCTGCTCTATCAGTAGCCTTTTCCTGGGGGGTTTAGCTAGATACATGAACACCTCTAGGCCCTAATCCTTGAATTGCATCTCTATGGACACAGATGGCAGCTTGCAAAGATCTTGCCTCAGGATCAGGGCCTTGTTTTCCACAGTAAATTATAACCAGCCTTTAAATTCTTTTGTTCTAATTGTGACTTGAAGGCAGGCTTTGAACTGCATTAAGGAAGAGCCTGGTCCAAACAACACTTGAAACCAGGAATGCGCTGTGCTTTAAATTTGTTTCAGACATCAACTTTCTCTGAGACCTTTTATACTTCTCTGCCCTCTGCATCCTTTTGGAAACATAGGGATGGCATAAGAGTGAGGTGAGGCTTAATTCATCAGTATTTGACCTGCTTGAAGCCCCATGCTGGCTTCCTGTTGGCTCTTGGCATGTTTCATTTGCCAGATGTCTTTAATGAAAAAGGCTAAAGGCAAGGATTTCTTAGGGTGATATCTTTTAGTGGACCAACTGTATAGGCGGGATAGAGTTAGACGAGCTTTTGAATCCAAGACCTTCATCATCTGGTCTGAGGAGTCAACGAAAGGCAGATTCCTCATGCCAGGTGCACATATCACTAATAAAGTCAATGCTGTGGCCACTGCGGGTTGCAGTAGTGGTTAGAGCAGGGTAACTTTTTTTTTTTTTTTCCAGCCAA